CGTATGTTCTCTAACAATAAGTAGATTGCAATTAAAAAAAAAAATCAATCTTAATTAATATTTGTAAGAAAGATATTCATATATTTGAAGTTTAAAATGGTCTACATTGAGTATAAACAACAAAATGGTTTACAAATGCGTCGACGTGATAGAAACGAGGAACCCATATACACGAATATAATCATGGAAAAATTAAAATATAATTATGGGTCAAAAAACATAAAAAGAGGGGAAAAGAAAAGATAAAGGGAAAATCAAAAGGGATGAGGCAAAATAGAGAGTTTCAATAAAGATAAATTTGGGTGATGGTGACGGAATAATTCTTCGATGTTTTCGTTTTGACCATCTTTTCCTTTATTTCTCACTTTAATTTTCCTTTACTTCTCTCGCTGTTTATTCCCAAATTTTTTAAAAATAACTAAAAACAAAGAAAAAATTTGAACAATCTTCCAATAAATATATATTTTGCATTATGATTAACAAAATAAAAGAAGAGAAACTGCTAATATCTGGAGTCCATTCTCTTGGAGAAGGGTAAAGTGGGTAAAAAAAAGGAACTGAACTGATTCGATTCTCTTTGGGACTCCCATCCATGCATCACCTCTCCACCCTCTTTCATTCTACTTTTAGTTTTCTAATTTACAAGATTAGAAATTACATTATTTTTTTAATTATAAGAACAATAAATATTGACAAAACAAAAATCCACAATGAAACCTTTGTTAGGTCTCTCACACGTTCCAAATATCGTAACGCATAATAAAAAGTTTCATTCAATAGAAATTTGAAAAAGAAAAGTCCGATACATAGAAGATGATTAAGAGTAATTAAATTTTAATTTTTCCGTTAATTTAATTCGTATAAGCCATAAAAATGATTAAGCATTGAGCAACTATATCTAAGGATGGTTGTAAGATAAAACAATTAAGAACGAGAATCGAACCATGAAATAGAAAAATATATACACTGTGGTTTTGATTGTGACGAAAAAAACAAACTGTGGGTTTGATTTACTGCATGGGGGTTCGTTTGTGTTTGATACATTGTTCAATTTTTCGTCTCTTTTTGTCTGTTTTGGTACCATTAGGCATTTACATCTACCACATTTTTTTCGTGTGTGTGTGTGTGTCCATATATGTGTCCTTAGGTTTGTGTTAAAATATTTAACGTGTAAAAAAGTAACTACTCGTATTGATGCAAACATGGCAAGTATTCCTTGGGCAATTGTCACAAGGCTAATTATGTGGAGGGTGAGTTGTTCAAGGACTAAGCTCGAAGTTTCTCGTTTTGGGTGATACTTTTATATAACTAGTTTTGATTTCACCACACTATTAAATTGTATAATGTAATTGTACTAATTAATCTAAGTGATATTTGATACGGTCACGGAACATGTAACGACCGATACAAAGAACAGAAATGAATATATTATATAACATGCGGCGACGACACTTATGGTGTTGCCACGTAACAAGCAACTTCCCGTTAACCATGACGTGTTGCAACCACAGAGGACAACACATACAAGACCGATCGAGAAACCCCATATACTAAAACTCGCAAAGTACAACACCCCAAACACCAAATTTAATTCGGTTTTAACCTCCATACACCACGCAGCTATACACGTGTCTTTAATCTAACACGTGTCTTGTTTTCCAACCGACCAAGGCACACTACAAATGTCCCGATGGTTTGGATCAGAAGACAATACACAGTTTCTACACAGCAACAAACACTTTCACACAAAAAGCTTTTAATCTTGAATCGTTTTGCATTTTACACGTACAGTTTGAAGAAAGAAAAATGGCGTCTAACCAACAAAGCTACAAAGCTGGTGAAACCAGAGGCAAGGCTGAGGTAATAGAAATATATTAAAGTATGCAACATATGTAAAACACATTGTATTTCAAGCTTTTATAAAGATTATTTTGGTTGTGTAACAACAGGAGAAGACCGGACAAGCTATGGGAACAATGAGGGACAGGGCTGAGGAAGGTAAGGACAAGACTCAAGGGATGGCTCAATCAGCAAAAGACAAGACTTCTCAAACAGCCCAAACGGCTCAACAGAAGGCCCATGAGACCGCTCAGTCAGCAAAAGACAAGGCATCTCAAGCTACCCAAACAACCCAACAAAAGGCCCATGATACGACCCAAGCAGCAAAAGACAAGACATCTCAAGCTGCTCAGACGGCCCAAGACAAAGCTCGTGAGTCTAAGGATAAGACCGGGAGCTACTTGTCGGAGACAGGAGAAGCCATAAAGCACAAGGCTCAAGACGCGGCTCAGTACACGAAGGAGACGGCTGAAGCAGGGAGAGACAAGACCGGTGGGTTCTTGAGCCAGACCGGTGAACATGTGAAGCAGATGGCTATGGGTGCAGCTGATGCGGTCAAGCATACTTTTGGAATGGCTACGGAGGAAGAAGATAGAGAACATTTTCCAGGCACTACTAAAACTACGACCACTACTGGTTCCGGAACCACTGATCCAACTCATCAGACTTATCAGAGGAAGTGATGAGAAACACGATGAGAACTATGAATGTGTTGTTTCAAAAATGTTTGTTTGGTCTTTTTTTGAATCTCTGTGTTTTTGTTTTGTAATTTCTGTTGTGTCTTTGTGTTTGTGATTCCGTTTTGTTTCTGGTTGTGACAGTGGATCCTGGAGACTTCTAATTTCCAGCCAATAAATTATATTTGATCCCGTTACAACTTTTGTGTCGTCCAATTTGGATTTTGCTATAATAA